CAACAAGACAAATTAAGGCATATCTCTGGTTCCTTTTATGATATCTGAATGATCCAGGTATCAAAATGTAGCTTTTAAAGCCAGGAATCTGAAAATGTGATTAAGTTATTTTGACCAAATTTGACTTAATCCTCATTTCGATATGATGGGTCACATATATTCTGTCCTCTATCAAAGCAGTAATTAGTTTTGTTGAGATTCTTGATTATACTGTTTACYACTGTTTATCTTGCTCTGCTCCATAAGGTTGATCACCATCCAAAGATGACTCGATATGCAGCAGAGAATTACAGCCTCAGAGAAGAGAACCGTCTTCTACGTTCCCTTGAATCTGTGATGAAAGCTGAAGAAATCTCCGCCCAAGTTTCTGCTGAGTTGGAAGAGGTTTTTCAGAGGGCATTGGAGTCAGAAAAACTCACAGGAAGTAAGGATGTTGTTGTTATTATTATCAAGTAACATAAAAAACTTGTAGAAGTGAATATTGCTTACATAAATTTTTACTGATCACATGTTCCACAGATTCCACAGTGTCTTCGGCCTCAGGAACAGATGCTGGATCTGCAGCCACAATCGAAAAACTGAACACCAAACTGCTTCAGAAGCAGTCAGACCTCACAGCTGCCCTCCAGGCTTTTGAGGAGTACAAAGACATCACCAAGTAAGGCGATTGTTCAAACAAGCAAAATTACTGTGATTATCTYAGAAAACTGAGCAGCTGTTTAGAAAAAAAAAAGTATTTTATGAAATCTCAGAGTTCAAAGCTCTGGGTTCACAAAAAGCTGTAAAACRCTCGAGTCAACTTTTTAAAAACTTGCTTACTCTATTTTAACTTGCAAACGTTCTGTTATGAAATGTTTGGTGTCTTTTTTTTATGAATCGTAAGTTTTGCACAGTTTGATTTGCCGCTGTGTGTTTCAGGAAACAGCTCTCCCAGTTGGAGTCGGACAAAAGGTACCTCGAGAAGTCCAACGCACATTTGGAAAACATTTTGGAAGCTACGCATGCTCATAAAAAACAAGAAGTCTCTGAACTAAACAGGATTCACGTTGAAACTATAAAGGTGAGTRCATTTAATGTGTCCTTGCGTAACTGAGGCCGCTGTTGACGTTTGCTGTAAAGATCATCAGTGTGAAACGATAAATTAAACAAGTTTTGTTATTGTTGTGTTGTCAGATTCTCAGTACGCCCACCAAAGCGTACAACCTGCGGTCCCGCCTCGTGCCCCATTCCAGTCCAGAACACCTGAGTGAGAATTACACCAACGGAGACGATATCTGGTCTGAGCCGCCTCCGTCTGACATGGCCGAGATGGCTCTGACAGAGGAGCTGCGCCAAGTCCAGGTAAAGGAGGAGATTACCCCTCTGTGTAGAGCCAATAGGAGCTCTATCATTAACGGAAGCGTTTCCTCATCAGGATCAAGTGAGTCGCGTCCAGACACAGTTAAATGAGGAGGAGCTGAAGAACAGCAAGTTGCTGCAGCAAATTGCAAAACTTGAGGAGCAGATTACTGTGATGTCCCAAGAATCTGACCACAAGGATGAGGTACTACTCACTTACTGACACTTCATTATGTTGATTATTTGTCTGTCCTGCTTACCGATTGTTTACTCCTAAATATAGCAACTTTCAACTGAGAGAGCCAATAGAAGCAAAGACCAGCTCAGCTTTCAGGAATCTGTGAACAGTCTGCAGGAGACTCTCCAGTCTGAGCAGCAAGCTGCAGAAGGTTAGCTTCTTTTAGTTTTACTTGCTGATGATCAGTTTAAAAAAAGTTGTATTTTTCCTTTAACCGGGGATGATCTTTTGTCTGGTTTCAGTTTTGAGAATTGAGATCCGAGATCTCCGCTTGCTGCTGCAGTTTTCCGACAAAGAGCTGGCCTCTGTGAAAGCTGAGCTAAGAGATGGTCAGAGCGAACACCATCGAGAAACAAGTCAGCTCTCCAACACTCTGATCAGCACACAGCTGCAACTCGACAAAGTCCAGTAAGCAGAGGCTCAATACAATGTGCTCCGCTCCCGTCGCTCCGATGTGTTCTTGTGCTAAAATGAGCAAAAATCCTTGTTCCAGGCTGGAGTGGGAGCAACTCCTGGAACAAAACCGAACTCTGCAGGATTCCTTTGACCAGCTTCAGGCAGAGGCCAAGTTTGAGGCAGATCAGGCAGGACAGCAGCTGTGTGACAAGCAGCAGGAGGTTGATCGGCTGAAAGCAGAGGTCACGGTAAGGAAGGCTTCAGACATGCTTGGTTCCTGTTGACTCTACTGTCCTGGTTTTTACACCTGATTTTATTTCTCCTTTTTACTTCAGGACTTAAAAAATGCTTTGCAAGTTGAACAAGAGCGCACAAACAGCCTGATCTTCCAGTTAAGAGAAAACCAAGAGAGCACATCAAAGTGAGATCTGCACGTTTTAAACCGTTACTTTATAAATAGTATTTAGTGGTTACGTTTACTCAAATACTAACATGCTTTTTATTTCAGAGAGCTGATAGAAACCATAGATCAGAACTCACAACTTAGAAAGCAAGTCTCTGACTTGACAACACAAAATCAACAGCAGGTCAGTCCAAAGAACAGCACCTGGTAAATAACTGGTGTAATATTCTTTGTAACGTTGTTCAAACTGATGCTTTTGTTTTTTAAGTYGACCCAAATTGCTGATCTTGAGGAGAAGTTAACCGCTACCATCCAAAACCTTACAAGCTTGGAGCAGGAGAATAAACAGGACAAAGTAAAGTGTATTTCTAATTGTTTCTTTACGTAGGATCTCCTGCTCTTCTCATAACTCTGCTTCTCATTTGGCAGGATGTTCTTCTGGACCTCATGAGTCAAACCAAAGACCTTCGTGGTGAGCTGAGCCAGAAAGACGAGACCATCATTTACATGGATGGAGAAATCAAAGACCTCACAGTACTCTTCCCCTTTTTTAAAACCCTTTCTCAGTTATAATGTTGCTGTTTTATTGTTCCCTGTTCTTTCACACTATCACAGTGTGCTTATATGTTTATAATGATAACTGCAATATGTTCCAGGCCAAATATAATGCTGCCTGCCACGAGAGGGAAAACATCACAGAGCAAAACCATAAGATGCAGGCAGAAATCTGTGACCTTAAAGAAACTGCAGACAGAAAGGTGGCTTCTAACAAGATAGAGGTAATGTCCTGTTTATGTGGAGCTTTATAGATTTGAGGAACTGTTGAATTTTGAAGAATCGTATTTRTTTTTGCGCCACATTTTAAGAACCTTAACCAAAATTATCCTTGTTTGGATGCACATTRAAACAGACAGGATTACAAAACAACCTCAAAACATTGCCTGTTCGTTTCTGTAATTTTATGATTGTTTTCTGCAGGTTGAGGTGTTGCAGGAAGAGATTGCTTATGCGACTGATGAAGTCGAGCGGCTCACCAAGGTCTTAGATGAGCAAAACTGCCTTCTGCAAGCATCTCGAGAGCAGTCGGCCCAAAAAGACGGCCTCATAAAGAACCTGGAGCAGAAGGTGAAAATATCTTTGAAAATATCTTTTGAAAATGTGACTGCAGAGTTCATGATCAGTGACAAAAAAATAGCAATAAAACTAATGAAATGATTTTCAAAACATGTTTTAAACCAGGTGCAACATCAGCAAGAAGCTGTTGAGAAAACTGTCAGGAATGGAGGGTTCAAGGCTGCTGATGCGACTGTCACACCTAAATCATTAAATCGGGTAAATAAATTTATTTTACTGTTATACAAACCCGAAGATATAGAACGTGTGCTGTATTTTACTATGAGAATTATTATTTACTATCTTTTTTTTGACCAAATGCCAACAGAAATGGAGACCTCTTAATGTTTTTCTTGTTTTCTTTTTAGACACCTGGTGGTCTAGGCAGCTTTAACAGGGACCTTAATGAGATGTTGGAGAGCCAGGAGCTGGAGCTGGAGAACAGACGCTCCTCTATGATGACCATGGAGATTCTTCTAGCAGAGCTGAATGCAGAGAGGGCTGCCAAGAACGAGGAAATCCAGAGGCTTAAGGTGGTTTTTGTGCAAACATGTTTAAATAGAAGACAAATATAGTAGAGTTGTATTTGAGTTTCACATGTTGTTTTATCTTGACTTTAAAGAGTAACTAAACACAATTTGCTAGATTTATTATTTTTTGTGTACAGTCCCCCAAGACATTTGTTGTGACTTGGCGCTATATAAATAAAGTGAACTGAATTAAACCCCAAATCAACTTTTTTTGCAGATAATCTGTCTAAATTGTGACTTAATTGTATTTCTGTGCTAGTTTTGCTATTTTCATGAAAATTTGTTCAATTCTGCAAAATTTGGTCTAAAACTGTCTTAGTGCTGCCCTCTATGGGTTGAACTGTGGCTACTGCAGTTGAATTTTCCTTTTGCTTAAAACGGCACATGCTTACTTAGTACTCGCTTATCTCACAGCCCGGTTTGGGTATAAAGTCCTCTCAGACATGTCCCTGCAGCGAGTCAGGAGTTGGAACAGGGAACGCTACGATGATAGCAATGATGCTAACGTCACTTCAACACTCAGAAAACAAAAACTACAATTTTCACTGCAGCAGAATAGCTGCAGTGGAACATCTTCGTGTTTCAATGGAGAAGCCGGTCGGTTCCCCTCACATGTATGCATTCAAAAAAGAGCCGCGTAGCAGAGATCAGCTGTTCTTGAAGCACAGTGCAACACCTGGATGTTTGTTTCATATCAAAAAACAAAATGAATCAATTTACTGTAGCAATCCTCTTTGTGGTTCAATTTTTTTTTGAACTAACTACAAAGTTGATGTTCCATGTCAGCTTCAATATTCCCTCAGTATTAAATCAGCTTTTGTTTAATCCTGCCAGTTTATCATTACTGAGCCACACGATGCTGAAGCTCCTGATGCAGGAAATGGTTAAAGAGTGATTCTACCTCATTTTTCACTACCTTGAGCCTCTTTAATCTGCTCTAGTTTAAAAACTAAAATACTTAGACATGTCAAACCTGTACTGCATTATTTTTCACTTACAGCAGAACACTTAAAACTAAGTTTGTGAAACTTTAATTTGATTTGTGAAACTTGAACAAAGGCTGCATCTGGACCACACTAGACCTGTTTTCAGAAATGCTAGCTTGTCATGTTCCCTCATCTTGACCACACCTCCTCGCTCAATATCAAACTTGGCCGTGGCCCTCAGTGTCTCTTGGCACCGCCCACTTTGTTGGGTTTTTATTTGTTTATTTGTTTTGATGGGGGCGGGGTTATGCTTTCACAGTGGGGTGTTTACACATTGAGCTCTTAACATTTTTCATGTTGTCTTCAGATGGAGCTGACTGAGAAAGAGGTGGTCCGGATGGAGATCCAGGGTTTGCTTGACACATTTTACACCAAACAGAATCTGCTACAACAGAATGACGATAATACTAGGTAGGATCACTTCATCAAGTAAGTTTTCAATTACCGTATAACCTATTAAATTGGTAAATTGAATATTATCGTCTTTTTCAGTGAGGAGTTCAGTGAAGCAATAAATCAGACCTTGCTGAAAGAGCTGCAGGAGGAGAGAGCTGAAAAGGTCTGTATCTCTTTCTCTGCTGATCTTGTTTATTCTGTTGAATGACTATTTAATTTATGCATGTTGTTATTTATTATCAGAGCAAAGCAATACAGAAGCTGTGTGATACTCAGAAAAGGTAAGCATCCGTACAGAGTGGTTTTATCAAGAGACCCCGCCTTTAAATGTATGTTTCAAACTTTGGATGACGTTTGATGAGCAGCTCTGTTTTTTTTATTCTTCTTCGGAGTAGACTGCAGGAGCAGGAAACTACGTTAGCCAAGTCCCAGACCTGCGTTCAAGAGCTGACCACTGAGCTGAGGAACCGCTGTCTGGAGCTGAGAGAGCTGAACCAAAGGATTTATGATGAGGAGAAACTACTTCAGGTAAGAAATGAGGATGATCTGGCTTCTGTTTTATATTTTTCCCCAATTTAGTTTTATTTATTTATATTTTTGTATCGTGGACTGGTTTTATTTAAGACAATTTTCCCACAAACTGGTGGAGAAAAGAAGTTGTTTGTACCTGTTTTTTTTTTTTCAGTCATGAGCAGGAAAAAAGGCTAGAAACTAATAACTGATTTTCAAAATAAAGTACACTACAAGCCAAAGTATTATTATAGTAGTTTTTTTTCTGTAGAGTTTTAATTCTGTGCAGCCCAGTACTAAATGGTCTATGAACCAGTACCAGTCCTTGGCTCAGTGGTTAAGGAACCCATGTTTTAGAAAATTTATCTTTCACATAAAGAAGGGAACATAATTATTTGAATAAATAATTTATTCAATCCCCAGTCCCTCTTCAAACACAGGTACATGCATGTCCATTTGGATGCTGCAATGGATAAAATACCTTCAAATGTTTTCTTTATACTCATTCACCTGCCAGGCAGAACCGCCATAAACATTTTAGTTCTCCAAATGACCTACCCAGGTGTCTCAAAACTGGTGTAATACATTGAATAAAAAAGCAAATATTTAGATGTACAACATGTAACCTCAGTTTACCAGAAAAAAAAAAAAGCTTTGCTATCTCAAAATTTTGAGCGAGAAATATTAGATACAGGAGAAACATATTCAGAAAGATACTTTGAAAAATTACAATTGAAACACAGTTTGGATATGTAATTGTTTTTTGTCTGTTTGTTTCCACAGGAGAATGAGGTGCTACGCAAACAGAATATAAAGCTTTCAGAGGAGAATGGAAAACTTGTCGGACACAAGAACCACAAGCAGAGGATTGAATATCTGGTTAAACTGAAAAAGGACAACACTAGACTTCAAGAGGTAACATTTCTTCTAAATAAAGTGTTTTAGGCTATAAGGAATTTTTAAATGCATATTTTTATTGACTTTTGTCTATTCCTTTTTGTTTTTAAGGAAAACGAGAAGCTCCGAGCAGAGTTTAGTTTAATGCGAGACAGCAGTGTATGCCAGCCGCTGGAGGAGATGTAAAACCTTTTGGTTAGTGAAATGTTGAGACCGCCATCTATCAATGTACAGCTCTTTTTACATTGGTTATGAAACAATATTCTAGTCTCTCGTCATTGTACCTCAAAATTTTACTCATCAGTTGTTCATGTCAGTAGCAATAGTTATTGTTTGTTTGATTTAGATTGTGAGCCACACATTCAGTCATTTTCTGTCAGTAACAGACTCTGACAATATTTTTTATGTAAATTTCTATGTCTAATGTCTTTGTTCTCAGGTTGCATAAWTTTGTTGTCATGCTGTAATTGATGTTTGATGCTGTAAGGCTTAATTATCTAATCTGTGAACCTGATATATTTTTAACCTATCCTTTTCCATCATACTGCGCTGTACAGCCAATGACTTTGATGTGATTGTTTTTTTTTTCCATAACTGTAATAAAGATTTAGCGTCCATAAGACAGTAGAATTTTAATGGAGAAAACTGCTTTTTTTGTTTGAATAATAAAAATAAAAAATTACCTCCATTGATTTATTTGCTTTATATCTTCTGAATTTGTCAAAAAACTTGAACAAGTACAGTGTTGTCAGAAATTATCCAGATTGAATGAGCTGAATTAACACCAAGAATATTTAGTGTACTAGATATGCAGCAGAAAATTATAAATTTTGAGTGAGGATGGAGCAATAGTTAAAACAATTATCTTGAGAAAACAAGCTCAAGTGTTATTAGTTTAAAAAGGTTCAAGATTTTTTAATAAAATACCTGGCAGTACTTTTCTGAAAGACGTGAAACGCCTACAGATCGTGGTAATTGTGAGTGGCAGTTTTCCCCATAATCTCAAGAAATAAGTTGCGTTCAAAGCTTCAGAAAATTGTCGCTTTCAACTTTTAGCCTCGCCACCAGATGGCGCTGCTATCAGCGTAGTTCTCGCGTGAGGTGTCTGAAGCAGAGCGGTATGTGAAGACGTCGGTGAATGGTTCAGTCCAATGCGTTCAAGATGAGGAAAAGTTTTACTTCTGAACAAATTTCTAACTGGTTTACTTCAGGGACCTCGTTTGTTAGTATTAAACTTTCTGACGAAGCGGTTGAAAGAAAGAATGACGAATCGTCTCCGACAGAAACCAGGTAAGGCCAACACAGGCTAACGAGACGATTAGCTTAATTTAACATGCGGCACCCACGTGCTAGTTGAAACGTCCATTAGCTAGTGCTTTAGTTAAAACTACTACATGATGTCATAGGAAAACTACTATATTTGGGTGCTTTTTAACTTATTTAAAATGTGTATAATGAAAAATCTTTGTCAGAATTTTTTTTTGTACCAAATGTAAAATTTACAACGAGGGCTAAATACACTACTTTAGCTATATATTACAACAAAAAAAAAAGTATAGAAAGTGTTGCCTCTTTTCCTCAATCTGAAAATTCCTGTGTCCATCATGTGGAAATGGCGTYGGAAAACGTTTAAATAGCCATCCTGTGCCAGTAGGTGGCGATAATGTCCACATGGCTGACATGGCTACAGGTGTTCACTGTTATTATTTAGATCAGGGGTGCCCAAAGATTTTCCTTGAGAGGGCCATTTTCCCTGAGGGCCAAAATTAAAATCAGTCTAAGTGGGGTGGGCCAAATGCAATAATATAACACATGAAATGCAAATACTTCTCAAGTAAAACTGCATTTTTAAAAAAAACTTAAACTAGCAGCCATTGTGGTTGTCCACATTTTGTTTGTTTGGTTATTTTTCAGCCCATGAACATGGAGAAAATTCAATATATGCTCGGGCAGCAAAGGCTCCTGAGTCTTTTCATAATTTTAAATTTTGAGTATATGTGGTCTTATAAGGTGTGAAAATCTATATATGGACTTAAATCTAAGATAAATGTCTCTTGAAGTTATTTGTATTTTATATTTAATCTTAACACAATTCAAAGAAAGTCAGTACGGTGAGTTAAGACTATCTGACTACAGCTCCTTGTACGTACAGTTGGACCAATTGTTGAAAAGACTAAGTGGAAAWATAGTGTTTCTACATAAGACGGATTACAATCTAGTAAYCAGGACAACTGGWGGTGGGCCACATCAAATGGCTTGGCGGGCCAAATTTGGCCCACGGGCCACACTTTGGGCACCTCTGATTTAGATGCAATCCCTGCTATGGTTTRTGTGTGTTTCGTTGAAGAGGGGTACGGATAAAAACAATTCAGTCCTGTTGTGAATGTCTTAAGTTCTGTTATCCGGTCTGTTAATTAGTTGAAAGCTATTTTTTGTGTCAAATTTTTTTAAATGTCTGTTTTCAAAGAAACAATTATCATTAATCATAATTCAACATTTGTTAAAGGCTTTTATGTCTGAAATTACGAAATCTAAAGTTCATTGGTAATTAAAATTAGGGGTAAGAAAATATCGATACACTGAAATATTGCGATATTTCCTTTCCTGATACTGTATCGATATTCGAAAGCCCTGTATCGATTTTTTATTAGGGTTTAAAATGTCAACTTTCCTGCCAGCC